TATTCATTCTCTTATTAAATTTTCGCTTATTTCCCATTGCACTAACAGCAGACATTAAACAAATGTATTTAAGAATTGAGGTAAAACAAGAACATAGAAAATATCAAAAAATATTGTACCGTTTTAATTCTACAGAACCCATTCGCGAGTTTCAATTTAATCGAGTCGCATTCGGTCTCAGATGCAGCCCGTTCCTAGCCATGCGTACTGTCAGGCAGTTGGCAGAGGACGAGAAGGGAGTGCATCCGCGAGCAGCAGATATAGCTACTCATGAACTGTATACTGATGATTTAGCTACCTCCGTTCCGACGCTCGAGGAGGGGGTGGCGTTGTCACGTGAACTCATTGACTTATTTAAAAAAAGGGGTTTCCATCTTACTAAATGGGCTAGTAACTCTGTAGAACTACTATCTACGGTACCTGAATGTAAACGCGCCGCTATTAATTTTGTAAATGATGATAATTTAAAAATACTCGGGTTGAAATGGCTTCCCTTAGAAGACGAATTTACTTTTTCAACATGTCCCTTGGACAATAAATGTACTAAACGTACTATCCTTTCCGCTATTGCTCGCTTATGGGACGTTCTGGGATTCGCAGCGCCCGTTATCCTTTTTGCTAAACTTTTAATAAAGGACCTGTGGGTCCAACGGATTGGATGGGATGACTCACCACCAATAGACATACAAAACCATTTTCTTAATTTTAAACAGCAATTACCTCATCTCTCTTCTTTAAAAATTCCTAGACATGTAAAGGTAGAAAATGGTTGTAGTACTAATATAGTCGCTTTCGCGGACGCCAGTATGAAGGCGTACGGTTGCGTAGTATACCTACACGTCACAGATGCTGCAGGCATTGTGCACGTTGCTTTAGTATGCGCTAAATCTAAAGTCGCGCCAATCAAAATTGTAACTCTTGCTAGGCTGGAATTATGTGCCGCTGTATTAATGTCAAAATTGGTAAAATTAGTGTCAGAAACGTATCGTACCCGCATTAATATTAATAATACGTATGCATTTTCCGATTCAAAAATAGCACTTTCGTGGATTAATTCATCACCACACAGATGGAACATTTTTGTAAGTAACCGCATCGCTAAATGTCAAGAAAATCTAGACCCTTGTCATTTCTATTACGTAAATACGACAGAGAATCCTAGTGATTGCCTGTCTAGAGGTTTATTACCTGATCAATTGATATGTCACTCATTATGGTGGCATGGCCCCGCTTGGTTACAGCGACCCGTCGCCGAATGGCCAGTATCACCATTCAAATCTGTAGCATGTGAACAGTTACCTGAAATAAAAAATAAAACACTTACCTGTACGACGTCTACTCCCGCTTCTATAATATACCAAATGGCGCTGAAGTTCTCCTCCTGGAATAAAATATTACGTATTATTTCGTATATTCTTAAATTTGTAAAATTAATACCAAGTAGCCCCCGCGTCATGTCTTCCCATATTAATGTATCAGAAATGTATCTTATTCGTGAAGTGCAAAAGTTATATTTTCAATCGCTTTTTTATGATTTAAAGAAAAACAATTTACCTTCTTCTCAATTTCGTAAACTGGATCCATTTATTGATGATAATGGACTTATAAGAGTAGGAGGAAGATTATCTAATAGTAACTTACCCTTTGAAGCTCAACATCCTGCATTGTTACCTAAACACGATCATATTACTCATTTGATTATAGATTATTATCACCACGTGCACTGTCACACTGGTGCGTCATTATTAACTTCATTGTTACGCCAAAAATATTGGATTTTATCAGCTAGAAGTGTAATTAAACAAAGAGTTCACTCTTGTAACAAATGCTTTAAAGCTTCTCCATCTAGTAAGACGCCAAAAATGGCAGATTTACCTTCGTACCGCGTGCGTGAAACGAAAGCTTTTGTGCATACCGGTGTGGATTACGCTGGACCTATAAGTATAACTCTATGTAGGCGTCGCGGCCAAAGATCTCAAAAGGCATACATTTGTTTATTCATTTGTCTAGTAACAAAGGCTGTACACATTGAGTTAGCCACAGACCTATCGTCCGATATCTTTATTTCTGCTTTTAAACGCTTCATATCTCGACGCGGACCTGTTTCATATCTTTATTCCGATAATGGAACAAATTTTGTTGGAGCAAAGGCTCAACTTCAAACTTTAGTACTTAGCCATCGTATCGAATGGCATATGATCCCTCCCCGCGCACCTCACTTTGGAGGTGCGTGGGAATCAAATATTAAAAATATAAAGAATCATCTATTTCGTACTATCGGTTCTCAATTACTCACGTACGAAGAACTATTAACAGTATTAACGCAAATTGAGACAATTTTAAATTCAAGGCCTCTTTGTGTACTCACTGAGGAGCCATTTCCAGAACCACTAACTCCTGCACATTTCATTATGGCATCTCCTCTTTCGTACTTGCCAATTGAACGCGTATCCGAAGATACTCGAAGTATTAGACAACGTAAACAGCTACTTGATCACATGGTTAGAAGCTATTGGAAAAGGTGGCGTTTAGAATATCTTAATAATTTACAAGTGCGACAGAAGTGGCTTGTTAATAATGAGAATGTAAAACCCGGTACTGTAGTATTAGTGCATCAAGATGATGTACCTTCGTTACGTTGGCCCTTGGGCGTTATTACTGAAACATATCCTGGATCAGACGGCAAAGTACGTGTCGCGCTAGTAAAAACATGTAGTGGTTCGTACAAACGTCCCGTTGTAAAACTTTGTTCTTTACCGTCTCAATAACCCAACTTAACAAAAATTCCATAGTTAATAAAGAACATATAAATATTAGTATAGTATCATTTAATTTCATTCCGTTATTTCTCTAACTCTTATTGAAAATACTACGTATTCTCAAGGCCGGGAGAATGTTCGCGCGTCTTCTAAATCCATAAAAAAAAAAAAAATAATAATAATAGGTTGGTAAGCCGCCACACTGCTTTTTCCCGCCCCCCTTTCCCCGGCACAATATGGACAATTCATTATTCGCCGCCATCTAACAAGTGAAACAACCACCGCATGCATCAATTTTTAATTAATCAAGGAGCTCCTTAAAATATTTTAACAAACTGTATTTGTGTCGCGAGTGTGGTGTATTGTAATTGAAAACTTCAAGTGCTTCAAGTCGCCGACGCAGATCATCAATATTATAATTTGTGCAATTTGGGTGAGTTCCTTAATTCCCTTTTCCTACGATCACTGCAGTGTGGCTAAAAAATACATCAGACTACATAGTATACTTTTATAAAAAAAGCCAATAGAATACCAGCATGGTTCTATTTTTGTAAAGGTTTTTTAATGAACCATTCTTATATCCGTCAAAGAACAAGTATTAAAAAAGTATAATGCCATATCTGTAAGGAATTTATTATAAAATACTTTGTAAAAAATGATATTATAGTATTAAATAAGTTGCAAAAAAATTGTACCTAAACGGTATATAAAAAAATACATATATATATATACGTACAGAATCTCCTTTGTTCCGCCGGAGAATAAGAAAATTTTTAGATTAGAACTTCACAAGAGGTAAAAAAATTTAAAAAGCAAAATCTTTATCAAGAAATTGTATATCACCTTCACTTTAAGCTCTATGCTAATAGGACTAAAGTGAACTTTCCTTCGTAGTTTATATAAAGCTTCTCGAAGCAGACATTTTAAGATCCTTTCTGTGTCAGGTTCAAGATATAAAATTAAGAATATCATACTTTATACGGGCCTCCTCCCCGGGCCTAGATTTTTAGTTTACCTGATGTTATATGAAAAAATTCATCTGCCTTTGAATATTATTAGACACATGACACCAATCTAAAGATATAACATAGAGGCTCAACAAATATAAGTAAATGGATTTCTAGTCTAATAATGAAATTATATAATTTGAAAACCTTGGAGGTCTAGCGCTTTAACACACCTTTTCACATTCGATGGTCCCAAGATCAATTCTCGCACGATACAAATATTTTTTATTGAGTACAGTTACAGGTATTGAGTAAAAAATATTGACACACACGTGATATAATCTATCCTGATTTTCTTTTAGTCCTGAAAAGATAAAAGACAGGTTTACATACATAATAATATTAATAATATCACTGAAAAATTCACACAGCGCCATCTAGTGTCAATTAAAGCAGAGCTTGTGTTATGGGTACTAGACAACTGATACAAATATTTTGATACATTTTTCTGTATTAATATGTATTTAAACAAAAATCTCCTCGACTGCTACAAATAAGCATATCTATAAATACAAATATTACACATATATTATTACTATCGATTAATATATACTAGTTGACCCACACAACTTCGTCCATATTACGAGATAACCGTTTACGTAGCGAACAAAGAACATATTTGTAACATTTTTTACTAATGTTCCGCTCCTATTGGTCGTAGCGTGATACTATACAACCTGTACTCTTCCTAGATAAATAGGATATGACTTAATCAATAGTTTATGAGTTTACGATCAAACAGACGAACTAATCTTTAGCTTTATAATATTAGTACATAAAGATATGCTAAGTTTATCATTTCGGGTTCATTGAAATATTCGTAGATAACGATTTTATTGACTATTGACAGATCTTATGTAACAGTCATTTTGCACGTAATATCTGTGATTGAATTGTTTGAATTGAGTTTAAATATTTAATTTTGTAGTTATATTTTAATAATATACTAGTAGTCGCCCAATGTTCGAATATCGACCATAAATAATTTAAATTATAAGTTTGAACTTTATTAATTCTATTGTCAAAGACCATTTTGTATTTATGTGTGTTAAAAACATGGCAGTGTGTGTAATTAAAAAAATTACATGAATTTGTATGAATAATTAAAAAAAAATATATTAGCATTCTACAGACCTTCTCTATATAAACTATAAGTGTACGTTTCATAATTCTCTATCTGCGCAATTTTCATAAAAAGTAGCACAAAGTTTTTGCATCACGTATTCATATAATAATGATATCGAAGTGTATATTGTTTGTTTGTATTATTGTTGGTACCTTCGCCGGTGATGTAACTAGTAATGAAGACACTAAAGCTCTGATTTCAGACGTTTATGATGATTACGTTGTCAAGTTTATTGAAAACGGTGGACAAGAAGACGGTAATTTTTTATATATATATTAATACAGAACTGAAGTGACTATCAAATGGTAAAAGAACAATTGTTAGTTAGAAAACAATTGTCGCAAAACATGAATACATGCTTAGTTTATTAAATTTCCTTCCTATTTATTGATACCTAAGAATAAAAATATAAAGAATACTAAAAAGTACTAATACTAAATAGTAAAAGAAACTAAGCAATGAAATGTAAATCTAAAAAATCTGTATATTTTTTGTTATTTTTAGTATTTTATACCTAACTTTTTATACAATTATTATCTTTTTTATTCACCTTACTTATTAATATTATAAAAGCGAAAGTTTGTGAATATGTATAGATAGATGTTTGTTAATCTTTCACGCAAAAACTACTATACTTGTTTTAATATAACTTTACAGTAATATAGTTTAAGCGTCAGAATAACAATTAGGATATAAACAAAGGGCACCGCAGTAAATAAATAAACGGAACGTAAATATTTACGGCAAAATCTCGATTGAAAAATTGTGCTTGGGTGAAAGGTGACGAAAGATCTTTAAAATAATCTAAATAAATACTGGAGAGTACCTATAACGTAATTTTATTGCGTAGACACCCTCCTCTTAAAATCCATTCAGCCATATAGTGAAAAGGTAGACACATTTTTGCATTTATAATATTTGTATGGATTGTGGCTATTTCGTTTTAGAAGACACCCCTATTCTGACTGGAGGGATCTGGAAGTGTGGTGACTGTGAAAACATCAACGAATCCCAGCTCATTTATAGCGAAAGCAATGACATAGATAAGGGAATGTCTAAGGAGAATATGGATATACAGGTATTTCCATTAATTAATATATAACAACACATATTACACCTGATTATAGAATAATTCCAATTGCAATTAATTATTGGTATTTAACAGATTCAATTTTGGATATTCATTTTGCTACTATTGTTTACTCTTCTGTGTATTGTTTTATATTATGTATGTTATTTAAATGTAGAGTGTCTTAAATGTAATGGATTAAGAGATCGTATTAGGCACATTGATTGAAGAAGAAAAATTATAATCCATCACATTTAAAATTAGTATTCATGTTGCTAAGTAACAGATATATGTAACTTGCAACTGTGATCAAAACATTAAATTATATTTGCTGCTATAATCCACTGAATATCTCTCTCTGGTAGATTAAAAAGTCACATTTTTTATTCTACCAGTCATTCGAACCGTAGACTCATCACAAGAAGAATGAGCAAGATGTTATTGCTTATGCAATATATATGCAAATTAATATTTTATTTCAGTTTGAGTTTACAAATATGCGATGTGTGACCGTACGGGCAGATGTCGCCGGTGTGGTTAGACGGATGGAGGGATCGTGCAAGGGTGACAGTGTTACCCTGACTGTTGCGTATGCGCAGTACATCACTATTAATATCTATGGAAATTAGACGTTAAGAGCATGCCAAACCATAGACAGTTGACAACCTAGGTACACGGTTCACAACCGCACATATCAACAGCAAGCACATATACAAGCACATGTCCGACTGGATATTCCATCCTTTGGACTACGCAAACAATTGTATTCATGAGTATGATTGTTCATAATGTTGTGGGTGTTTTATGTATAACTAGCTGACCCCTCGAACTCTGTTCCGCCTCAAAATAATAAATATGTCAAAGGTTTTTTTGAAGTTAATTACGCAATAAATTTCTGAATTCTGTTTGACATGTATCAGCAGTTTGTATGGGAAAATAAAATTGTTGTTTTTACTATTAAAAATGCAATTTCATCATATTTTATCACCGTTTAAACCTTCCCTGGACTTCCACGAATATTTGAAGACTAAAATTAGCCAAATCGATTCAGCCGTTCTCGAGTTTAGCGAGACTAACGAACAGCAATTCATTCATCATTTGTATATATAGATAGATGTAAAAAAATATATCTCTTGTATTTGTATCAGTTATCTAGTACCCACAATACAAACTAAAACTTGGGTCTAGATGGCGCGATGTGAGTTCTCCTAATATAATTATTATTAGATATTAAGTATTTCTATCAGTTGTCTAGTACCAATAACTCTGCCCTACATACTGAGACTACATGATGCTATGCTGAATTGTCCAAAATTATTATTATTAATATATTAGTCATATTGTTCATGACATTAAAGAAATAACAATGAAAATTGCAAAAAATAAATTATCATTTTATAAATAAATATTCACAAATTGGTCTCGTAAACAAACAATCAACTTGTGTCACATAATCAAGTTGGTAAAAAAAGTTCAGTTTCTAATGTGATATAATAAATAATTAATGATGAATTGATTTATGCTGTGCGTTGCGCGTCGTGGCCTTTTTATTACTTGGTAAAGTCCTCATGGGGCCCGTTCATCACATATTCGATATTGTTTTCTATTTGAGTATTTAATTGGATTAGTGCTAATTGGTGGTTTGTATTCACACACTTAAACTTAAAAATGTAAAGTAAAAATAAAATATGAAAAATAAAATTTCTCTATGGTCTTATCACTGACGACTGATTTAATCTTATTGCATATTTATATTGAAAAAATTAGTGCTAATTGGTAGTTTGTATTCACACACTTTGGACTTAAAAATGTAAACTAAGAATAAAATTATTTAAAAGAGCAACACGCAAAAGTCTTGCTCGTTCTTCTTGTGATGAGACAGCTTTCCAAATGAGCGGTAGATTAAAAAAATGTAATGACTATTCAAAAGTGCTTCAATGTAAGTTGATTTGAATAAATGATTTTCTATTCTATTCTAATCATACTATGACTTCTATTTACTAAAATCTCTAAGAAGACCTTAAGACCATCAAAGGCCATACATCACAGTTGCGTGATTGAATGGCAGTCCACCGCGACTCTGACGGCTGTGACCCATTCCATAAAGGGCCTCATCTCTGCGGGTTCCCATTGGTACTCACTTTTTCCCTATTGCCGTTTGTCATGACGTAATAGAAATAAAAATAATCTTTATTCAAATAAATTCAAAGTAAGCACTTTTGAATGGTCATATTTTTTCTATTCTACCACTCTTTCGGAATGTAGACTCATCAGCAGAAAAAGCAGTAAGAAACTTGCGTGTTGGTGTTATGAATGAATGTTATTTTCAATAAATAAATGCATAGTAATAAGTATTAATAATAGTAATAAAGTACTAATATATTCATTGCGCAATCTGATAATATTTTCAAAACTATGATTTTTAAGTTTGTTCTACAAAAACATTATTATAAGAAAAGTAAGAAAAATATATTTATTTGGCCCATACAAAACATTCATACAAGATATTAAAAATATAATAATTATTTATTTAAAAAATTACAGCTGCGACCAAATTGGTTTCCATTCAGCTTTGATGTGGTGTCTAGGTTACATTATAATTTATAACTCTTCAATATTAAAAAAAGCTTTTTTACAAAGAAAATAGTGATCTATTTCCTCGTTTAAAACCTTAAGGCTCATGAATTCAAACCTAGTCAAGACCGTAAACTGTTGTCATATTACATTATTAAAAAGAACAGGAAAATTCATATCATAATTTATAGAATTATATTGATAATTACAGTTAAATGTATATAATTAATATTGGAACCACATAAAATGGAGTTTTGTGCTTCAAATTTCCTTGATATTGTTAATTGAGTTTTAACTGGAATTTATCAATAATTAAAATTTAATTATAAATTATTGTTATATTTATATAGTGAAATAAATTATTATTTTATATTGGAACAAGTTTTTATTTCAATATTCCTTAAATTGTTTAACTTAGTACGTACTGGTACTAAATTATATTTAACACTAGTTATGACCGCAACTTCGTATGCGTTGTATTCAAAATCTTATTAATATTTTAAACGAGGAAGTTAGTCAGTGTGAATGAACGGATTCGTGAATGTTTGTTACTCTTTCACGCAAAAACTATTGACTGGATTTGACTGATACTTTATAACAATACAAGTTCATTACTTAGTATAAAACAAAGTCGCTATCGCTGTCTGTCCGCCCCTATGTATGCTTAAATCATTAAAACTCCGCAACGTATTTTGAAGCGGTTTTTTTTAATAGATAGAGTGTTTCAAGAGGAAGGTTTATATATATAATAATACATATACGAAGCCGGGGCGAGTAGTTAGTTAAATTATTAATTAGAATAACACATAGGCTATAAATTATACATTGGTGAAACTCTAGTTTGAGTATAAATGCATTAATATAAATTTTTATATGCCATTTAACAATAATTATAGTAATAATAATTTGTCAGGCCAATTCATACACCGCCATCTAGTCCCATGGTACTAGAGAAATGACTCTCTGTTAAATACATTACTACCTACACAATTTCAATAAAATCTGTTAAATAATTTTTGAGTGAGATCATCCATCCATCTATAGAATCCAAACTCACATATTTTCGCGTTTATATTATACTAGCTACTTGCCCCGGCTATATATATATATATATATATATATATATATATATAATACATGTACACCCTTCTTCTTGAATCACTATATCTATTAAAAAAACGCTTCGAAATCCGTTGCGTAGTTCTAAAGATTTATGCATACATAGGGGCGGACAGACAGCGACAGCGACTTTGTTTTATACTATGTAATGAAGTAAGGTATTATTGAAAATGATTACGTTGTACAATATTCCATTCCTCTTTTAATTAACTAAGTTTATATCTTATTTTATTTTAATGAGGTAACTTTTAACGCGCTCTCTCAAAAATAAAACTAAAAAGTTCATCGCTAATGATTCTCGTTTATTTTCCTCTCTAATACAAATTTAATGGTATTTTGTTACGTTTGTATTCTTAAAAAGGAAATCACGTTACACGTTCAAATAATTAATATTTTTTATATGCCAATTTTAATAAACAATTCCCTCATATTTATAGATCTAATGAAAATACTTTCTAAGACGAATGCAAAAATATATAATAATGATGTCTAAATATGCTTTTTTTATGAAACCATATCTACTAATATTGCTCATAGATGCTAAAGAAAATGTTTTTTAAAAGGAATGCATAACTAAATTTAATAAATTTAATTTGTTATCCTATTTTTTTTTAAAACAATCCTAATAATTCTAATGCGAAAGTATGTCTGTCTGTCTGTTTGTTAATTTTAAACCAAACGATAGAACAGATCGTAATGAAATTTGTCGTGAAAATAGATGTTATCACGTGGACAGACATATGGTGCCTTATATCTTAAAGCAGACGGATATGCCGGTAAGAACTAGTTTTTTTAAATGAAATATGAAATAATTGAAGAAGATATTGTGTGACATATAATACAAATTTGCGTAAGTACTTTATACATATAAATATATATTTATTGTTCATATTTGGTTAGGTTTCATTTATTACAAAATAATACTTAGAAGTACCCCATTATCTATTTTACAGCATAGGGAACAAACGAGCTTATCTGATGGTAAATGATTACCGGCACAAACGAGCATCCGCGACACTAGTAGAATTTTAAGTATGTCGCCAGTTTATTAAGAAAGAATAAGATCTTTTCTTGAAGGTTTCAATATCGCATAGGTTCGGTACCATTGCTGGAAGGTGATTCCACAATGTGTACGTGGTAAAAAGTTTCTGAAAAAACGGACGTTGGAAGACTGCATCATTTATTCAGATAATCAGGATGATGATAAATCTATGTATAGATCTCCTTCACCCCAAATGTCAAGTTTCATATTGAAGTAAACCCAAATGTGGCAAGAGTCAATAAAAACGAACAAATTCTCGTTAGTTTATGAGTAACAAATTTCTTTAAATATGTATACATAATATCAGTATATAGTAGTAGTATATAATTGAATTGAAATTTAAGATGAAAGCCTCGGTGGTACAGCGGTTTAGTACACCGCCTTACTTCCGATGGTCGCGGGTTCGATTCCTCGCACGGCGCAAACACGTAAGTGTATTAACGAGTATAATTGTTTGTTTCGGTCTGGGTGTTTTCTATGGATAATAGGATATTTATAAAAAAAATATCTACACGTATGTATTGGTATCAGTTATCTATTACCCATAACACAAACTTTAGCTAGCTTAACTTGGGTCTAGATGGCGCTATGTGAATTGTTCTCAGATTATTATTATTATTTATATTTAGATGTTTAGCGAAAATGGCTGGATTTTCGACCAAGTATAAAAAAAGACGTTAACCTATAGAGGTTGACTGCATAGGCAGTCTTTTAAAATCCATTGATTTTTATCCCCAGAAGGTACTATATGTAATATTATGTTATCTGTGGTACTAGGATCATAGTAATGATAGCAAGATATATAACAACAATGTAGGGGCATCAAAGAAGGGATTTTCGATATTTTACTATAAATATTTCTAATATCGAACTCTATTTGAACGCTATGTTGTAGTTATAAACATTGAAACTGATTAAAAAAATGTACCAGTTGAGGTTTTTTCTATTTCTTATGAATAACAAGAGCTGTATCGTCTAAGATCTACAATTATCCTTGTCACATAAAGCATATATACTCCGTAACTAGCACTGCATTTTCATATATCTAGTGACTACGCAACAGAGACGAATTGTACTCTCGAAGGTGACAAATACATAAATCTGTTTTAAAGAAACATAAATATATTTTGGAATCGTAAGAATAACAAAATAATTATACTAATACTAAATTATTCATTAATCTAATAAAGTATATAAAATTGATATTAATACATTTATATTAATGAATATTAACATTTGTTAAAATCGGTAAATTAAAAGTGAAAAGAGTGTGAAAACAGTGATGAATTATAATAATAAAAAAAAATTTACTAAATCATTCATTCATCTAATTAATGAATTTAATATTTTTAATAAGCGTTGAACTACAATGATTTTTTATTCATTCATCTAAAAATTTATGTGTGAATATATTAACATTGTTTATTAATATATGCCTATACTGAAGTTAGATTATAAAATAGATTAAATTAATAAAAACATATTTATATCAATAAATATTAATATTTTTAATAAGCCAGTATTAAATAAGTGAAAAGAGTGTAATAATCTAGTAAAACTTAGAAGAATCATTTTAAAAATATTATAACAATATATTTTTTTGTTGTATTTTCTCTACCTAAATGTTGTCTAGAAGAGATTGCTTCCTTTTGTACATCCATATCTTTTTTCTATATAATTCTTCTGTATTAATTCTACTGGTGCAATAAAGAGTTTATAAATAAAATAAGTAAACATAACACTAGCTGATCCGGCGAACATTATTATAAATATATTATTCATTCATCTAAAAATTTACACGATACAATTTTGATTATGTGAATATATTAATGCGTCCACCTTGCCTCCAGCAAGGTGGACCGACGATCTGGTCAAGATCGCTAGAAGGCATTGGATGCGAGCAGCGCAGGACCGATCGTCGTAGAGATCTTTGGGGGAGGCCTATGTCCAGCAGTGGACGTCTTCCGGGCTGCGATGATGAATATAATAATAATGTTTGTTTATATATCCCTATAATGAAGTGTTGTCTACAAAAATGATCTAAAAAATATATTAAATTAATAATAACATATTTACATTAATGAATATTGATATTTTTGTTGAATACCGATAAATTAATTAAGGGAAAAGAGTATAATAATAGAGTGAAACTTACAAGAAGCATATTAAAAATATTATAACATATTTTAACAATATATACACAGTTAAAACTAAAATAAAACTATTTTTTTAGCAAAAATGACGACTTTCAACGATATTTCGTCTACATTGAAACCGGTCGCGGACTATTATTCTGGAAAGTCATTGTTCATAACCGGCGGTACAGGATTTCTTGGCAAGGTATGTTTATATATATAAAAGAATACATAAACATATATATTATAGTAATGTTTGGAGAGCTTATTACACTATCAGTATAGATTATGTACAACAATATCCAACTTAATCCACGAAATGACGCATGGCATCACGCCGCTTGCAAAGTTTATATTTAATTATATAGTTATAAATCAATCGAATTGTTTACATTTTAAGGTTATGGTTCACTATGTAATCTATACTAAACAATACCTCTGACTACCCCATCTTAGAAGATAGTCATGAAGATATATTTTATTTTTTAATTTGAATCTAAATAATATTATAAAGATGAAGAGTTTGTTTGATTGTTTGTTTGAACACGCTAATCTCAGGAACTACTGGTTCGAATTGAAAAATTCTTTTTGTGTTGGATTATCCTTTTGTTGAGCTTTAAGCTAAATAATTACGCAATGATCAATAGAAATGAAGCTTTAATGAAAAATATTGCAAAAACGGGGAAAATTATTCATTTAAGAGGTTTTTTTATAGATGACAGTGGAATGGTGCACCCGTCTGCGCTAACGGTTTTACACTGGCGGGGCCCCAGTGGAGGATGATAAGATGAACATAAGGTCAGGTCAGTTAGCGCATCGTGACAAATTCACCAGGAATTTATCACTATGGTTTCCAGGGAGAACCGCGTGGAGGTCAACCTGACCTGAATGTACCATACATTGCTAGTGATATGGTCATGGGTTATGAGTCCATATAACAAACAATCCCCTTTCCACCTCATTTAAGGGGTTTCCTTGAGTGCGCTGCGCGAACGAATTCGCGGGCACAGCTAGTATAAATATATATACCAATATTATAAAGATACCTATAGGACAGGTGTGTACTTAGGTCCTTATTTTATATTGCGCAACTTTCTGTCATTTGATTACCTACCTAACTAACTAATTTCAACTATTATATATTGCTCCTTTTTAATGTTGTAATCTTATGGTTTGTTTGTTTGTAATACTTTATTGTACAATAAAATTATAAATAAAAGGACACAATTGACTTAAAAAAAATCGTACAATGGGGGACTTATACCAATGAGTTTCTTCCAGTCAATCTTTGAGCTAGTGAGAGGAATTGTGGAATGGTGGAAATAGTGGTTGTACAATAAAGCATTATTAAAGATAAAGACTGTATCTTGTTATGAGAAAACTACTGCACCAATCTGATATTTTTTTTTCTCTGTACGATCGATCCCCCGTCAAATTTAAACGGGGATCAAAATTACGATGGCCTGAGCCGTAGTTCGGACCATAGCACCTAAGGGCAGCCTCAGACTATAGACGTATCCCTCAGGTGGGAAGTGGCCTTCAGGTACTCCATAAGTCCTTCCGCGGGTTTGGAGTACCATCTGTACTCGGCCCCTGTGGTCCGGTGGAGCTTTAAAGGCCAACTGCTGGCTGCATCTGGCCTACGATGTTATTTCCACAATATTTATCCACCATTCATTTACTCTACTTCAAGATAATAATTTCAACCAATGCTATGTACCTACCATTAAACATAAATAATTATTGTTCTACATAAATCTCTAAACATTGTCTTCCCATTGGCGCAAAATACAAATTATAGTAGATATTTACTCAAACCACCTCAAACGTAGAAGGCTGTATGGGTGCATGGTCGTTGCTCATGTTAGTAAAAGGAAAAAAAATGTTTCGGCGGGAAATAGAAGATAAAGTTTTTTTTTCTTTACGCATAACATTAATGAGCGGTTGAATAGCAAATATTTACTGTCTATTGCACGCGATTCACAAGTTATCAGCACGCAATATGACTGCACACAGTAACGCGTATCATTGTAGTTTTACGGAGAAAACTTAGACAAACAAAATTTATGTACTTTTTAAACAAACAATAATAATCGTGGACAATTCACACAACACTAGTCCTTAACTAATCTTGTGTTATCGGTAGACAACTGATGCAAATACTTTTTTTTGTAAATAGATACATAATATGTATAGAAAATACCCAGAGCAATACAAAAATCACATATACTCGTGAATACAGATGTTTGCATCGTGCTAGGAATTGAACCTACGAGCAACGAAAGTAAGGCTGTATGCTAAGTAAACCGCTAAAGCATAAAGAGGCTATAACTTTTCAGTAATATGTTAATATGAATACTATATTTTTAAGGATTCAAAAGAATGTTCTGGCATTTGCTTAATAATGAAAGATAACAGATAGTAGTAGGTATATACTCCAGAGTGATATAGTTAATATCATCATCTGCTTCTTCCTTATTCCGTTAATTTGGGGTCGGCGTAATATGCTTTTGTCTTCCATTCATCTCTGTTCGCAGTATAGTTAACATAAAAAAAACTGTTTCTGTCGGCTAACTCGAGTTAACTCGAGTTACCGGAGTTTCAACTCGAGTTATGTATATTACGATAATATTACGGTATATTATAGATGCCACGTTAACATCAGAATGTTTAATTATAATCTTAATCTAATAGTAAGTTTTATCATTTTAATAGAATTATTTTTAATCATTTTAGGTTTTAATAGAGAAATTATTGTATAGCTGTGAAGAAATTGACAAGATTTACGTGTTGGTACGAAATAAAAACGATCAAGATGCCAATAAAAGAATTGATGAGATGTTATCCAATACAGTGAGTATAATTTACACTAACGGCCTCGGTGGTCTAGCGGTTTAGCATACCGCCTTACATCCGATGGTCGCGGGTTCGATTCCTCGCACGACACAAACATTTGTATTCATGAGTATGATTGTTGGTATCGGCTGGGTGTTTTCTATTTATAATATGTATTTATGAAAAAATATATATATGTATTTGTATCGTGCGAGGAATCGACCCCGCGACCATAGGAAGTAAAGCGGTGTACTACACCACTACACCGCCGAGGCCGTCATTATTATTTTTATTATTTTACATTAAATATTTTATAGAATGTGGTGTTATTTTGCGGAAGTCCGTTTCAATAATCCGTTTAATAGATTATTTTGTTTAATTTCGCTATCATTAGTATGTGTGAGATCATAAATATTTAGTGCGAACACTTGATCACCTCGACCGGAAGCGCTATGACCTTCTCCATTAGTGATCACCTCCGATCGTTATCGTATCTTCACCCATATTGAGACACGTGTTTCACCTCTAAATGTGGTAATATCATTATTTATTTTGTTATATTTCTAAACAAGAATAATTTTGTCTTACTAATATAATAATCGCAAAAGTTTGTCAGTATGTATAAATGTTTGTTACTATTTCACGCAAAAACTACTGAATGGATTTTCATGAAACTTAACAGTAATCTTATGCATCAGAATAATATATAGGCTATAATTTAAGATATATCGCCATAAAGAATCCTAAATTTTCACTCTTTTGCCATTATCCTCTATTTTTTAATGGCGCTATTAATTTATATGGCAAAGGGAAAGGGAAAATATTTAGGAGCTTGGCTGTACTACTAGAGTATAGTGGCCGAGACTACTAGAGTATAGTAGTCTCGGCTCTACACGCACAAAGGTCCAGATTAGAGGCTAATTGCGGAAAGTATAGTCTAATTTTATATGGCAAAACAATGTTTGTCGGATGCAGTAGTAATTAAAAATAATGTATGTAATAATCACAAAATAATAATCACAGGACAATTTACACAGCGCCATCTAGACCCAAGTTAAGTTAGTTAAAGCTTGTGTTATGGGTTAGATAACTGATACATATACATAGATATTTTTTTTGTAAATACATACATATTATACATAGAAAACACCCAGACCGATACAAACAATCATACTCATGAATACAAATGTTTGTGCCGTGCAAGGAATCGAACCCGCGACCATCGGTCGTAAAGCGGTGTGCCAGACCGCTAGACTACCGAGGTCGTCGGTAATGTAATATTTTATTTATTGTTATTTATCTAAATAGACTGTTAATTTCAAACCAGACTAGATATGCAGTCTGCATTTGACGGAGTATGCAAATCATTACTGCAGACAATACAATCCAATTAAAGTTATGATAACTGGACATATTGTATGCACAATTGTATTAGTTACAATTAACATGTTTCTAGTAACTAGTAGTCGCTGAACTTTGAACATTATTTAAGGTAAAATTTTTAAAGAGTTACACAGTTCTACTAGCTACACGCCTCTGCTTCGCACGGGTGTACGTGTAGTATATAACATAAACCTTCCTCTTTAATCACTCTATCTATTAAATAATCGGGTTCAAAATCCGTTGCATTGTTTTAAAGATTTAAGCATACATAGGGACAGACGGCGACAGCGACGTTGTTTTATACTATGTAATGAAATTATGATGCATGCGTGTCAAATACGTGGTAATGTGTGTAATATTTTTTTATTGATTTAATGTACTTTTTATGCATAATTTAAAAAAATATTAGCATTCTAAACTTATTTATTTATTTATTTATTATAGTTTTGCATTCCATAATTTTATAGTAGATAGATCTTCTTCTTCTTCTTTCAGCATATATTTGTCCACTGCTGGACGTATGATAGCATATAGATAGATAGGTATATTTCAAAGTAGGTTAATTATGGACCCTGTTGGGCAGCAAGCGGAAGAAAAGAGAGGAGGAGTTATTTTTTTATATAATATATAATAACAATAATAATAGTAATAATGAATAAATTGTAACTGTATATATTTAATTATTAAAATTGTATAATATTAAATTCAATATGTCATTTTTGTATTCTAAAATTGTATACATTTTTTAATCAACGATGTCTTGAAATTTCTTATAAATATTTTATCATTTTTTTCCTCTTTTAAAGAAACTTATTCTCTGTTTAAAGCATAAGTCTGCGAAATTTCATACTGCTTAGTTCGCGCAATATTCGTAAAAAGGGGTACAAAGTTTTTGTTTGATGTATTAATATAATGATTGTATATTCAAACAAAGGCTTTATTAATGTATATTGTATACAAAGTCGTCTTCATGGACATCTATTTCAGCTGCTAAGCATAAGATGATTCGTAATGTTTGTGAAGTAGATTTTTTTATTTAATACAATTCACACAGTGCTGTCCAATCTCAATCTAAGCAGAGCTTACGTTATGGGTCCTACAATTTATCTATTTTGACGAGCCATCAACTTATTTGTCAATCCAGTTACATTATCACATCCTTAAATATCGTGAGTTCGATTCTCGCCGACATCAAAAACATTATCTACGGTTGAATAACCGATTATATAACACATTTTACGACTAACTCCGTGTATTCATAACTGCAATTATGTAGGATTATTAATTTGCAAAATTACAATTAATAATGTTACTTGGATACAATGAATGAATAAAAAAAAAACAATTGACCGCATCGTATCATATAATTAACATTCCACTAATGTGTACCGATCCTCGTAGAGCTATTATTTAGAGTTGATATCTTATCTATACAAATCTATAGAAATAAATAAAATTAAATTGCAAATTAACAGGTTTTCACTAAATGCATAATTTAGGGTTGATGTGACATAAAACCCTAAACCTATAAACCTAAATTAAAATTAATTGTCTGTCTGAATGTTTATTCTTGATTATATACAGCACATACAAATGATATTATTTAAAAAAAGTGTTTGTTTGTTCTTGCTAATCTTTGATCCGATCCGTCAAAATCCGGCCCATTTTGACGCCGGCGGCCTCGGCCGCCTTCAGCCGCTCTGTAAGTCCTTCAGCGGGCGGTGAAGCTGTAAAAGCCAATAATATTAAAATAATTAAAAATAAAACGCTTCAAGTAAAACAAAATAATTTTTGTGTGTGCAAGTTTATAGAATTTTTTTACGACTCTGCCTAGCTTCAAACTTGGCCCAATATTTATAATGCCAGTAACAATCCTTATAAAATGCTATATCTATCTAAATAAAATGAATAAAAAAGACTTAACGAGCTGGCCACAGAGCAATATTATGCTCTGTGGCCAGCTCGTTAAGTCTTTTTTATTCATTTTATTTAGAGTACATCTACTGTGTTTTGTTCTTTATGTTGCTTCTAATGATATCCTGAGGAAAACTATATACCACTACTGGTATATAGTTTTCTTACTTCGTAGTTACTGCGAAGAAAGGTAGACGTTTTATTTGTTGTTTCTAGACATTGTAATAGTAATAAAAACTATTTGCTAGCTATTCTAAAATTGTTTTATGTAATTTTCAGCTTTTTACTAGATTAAAGGAAAATAAAGCGGATTGTTTAAAGAAATTGGTACCAATTATAGGAGATATTGCTGAGCCGAACTTAGGAATGACGCCTAGTGACGAGGAACTCTTAATTGAGAAGGTACTTATTATACATGTTAGGAAATATATTAATTAAGGCAAGATTTTTTTTTATTAACTCACAATAGCCTTATTGTGAGGTGCTTCAGAACTGTAGCACTGCGAACTTCATAGATCTATTGTGCTCGCCCTTTTTCCTGTCAGGGACAAGAACTGAAGGGTATTCTTAGGAGCGATGGTTTGTATCTCCTCAGGATAAAGTGTATACTTCATCCTATGTGGTTGTATCTCACTCATGGAGTGTTTCATAAAAAAATCGTCGTCATGAAAACATATTGATATTTTTTAATTTCAGGTTTCTGTTGTATTCCATTCGGCTGCTACAGTTAAATTTAATGAACCCTTATCAGAAGCTATAAAAGTAAATGTAGAAGGCACAAGGAAAGTACTAGATCTATGTCACAGAATGAAGAATATAGATGTAAGTAATTTCTTTCTTATATCAAACCCAAAATTTAAATAAGACAGTGAAATAACAGGACAATAGGCATGACATTATATCCTTCGAAATAGCGAGGCATGTATGACTTGATGCCCTCGGTAGTCTAGCAGTATAGCACACCGCTTTACCTCGGATGGTCGCGGGTGCGATTCCTCGCACGATACAAACATTTGTATTCATGAGTATGATAGGTTGTAACGGTCTGTGTGTTTTCTACGTATATTATGTGTGTATTTACAAAAAAAAATGTACGATGCATCTCATTAGATAGATAGAAATAAGAGCAACGAATGTGAGTGTTAACGGACTCTGACATTCACTGCTCTTATTTCTCAATTCCTAGTTCCGGGAAATGCTCCGAGTTACCCTCTTTCCACACAAAGAACCCAGCTCCCTCTCGGCGAATGCATGGAACGCTAAAAAGTTCGTACTTGACATTATTATTGTACTCTACTGTTATATATATTTTTATTTACTATTTTTTTATTCATCAGATGCTCGTCCACATTTCAACATTGTACGCCAACTGCGACAGAAAGGTTATTGAAGAAGTTATATATCCACCTCCTACAGATCTTAATGAATTGTATACTTACATGAAATCAGATGCCTACGACGAGAAGTCTGTGTCACATATTTTAGGTGAGTTTGACTCGGATCCATACTAATATTATAAATCTAACCATGTCTGAACTTAACCTGACTAAAGGTCTGAAAGAATCTTAATGTATTTATATATTACTAACTGACCTGTCCGACTTCCTCTACATCACACTTATCATTATATATCGCGTAATTTACATAATATATTTTTAAATTATAGCCTATATATTATTCTGATGTCTAAGCTATGTTACTGTAAAGATTCATCAAAATCCGTTCAGTAGTTTTTGCATGAAAGAGTAACAAACATTCAGTAACATTATACACAAATAATATCAATCTTTTATTCACAGTTTGACCACAGACTTTAACAATACATAAAAGATCATATATACGTTTACGTATATATATATATATATATATACAGTAGCGTGTGTAATGTTTTTTTCATTATTTTAATGTATTTTTGATACACCATTTAAAAAAAAATAGCATACTGTACCTTCTCTATATAAATGTGCGAAATTTCATACTCCGCCGTCAAAAATGTACAACATTTTTACTTCACGTATTAATATGTACATTATTAAAGTAATATATTTATGATAATTAGTAGTTATGTATCCACAGAATACCAACATTGTGCATATGAGCTACATATTATTGCTCTAATTGTATTGGATTATCTTTTCGTTTTTTTTTATTATTGCTTACTGTTGCGAGTGTCGAATACACATATTTTCTTTCTAATGAAATTTGACTTGAAGATATATCAAATTTTATTAGAAACAAAGTCATATTACATTTTACTAAATGGTTGAATGAATCTTAATGTGATTCTTGACGAATTTTATCACGAGAACAAACACAGCTTATTTATAATCTAAAAAATGTAAACCAAGTCGCAGGAAACACCTAGTATAGCTATAACGTTAAGTGACAGAGTGCAATCAGGAAAAAATAAAGAAAGAAGGAGCATCAAAGGAAGTCGTAAAAGAGGTAACAAAAGCAAATATGGCGAGCTTTACTTTACTTTTCTAGGTGCTATTTTTGAAGCGATGCGAGGATTTTTAAATGTTGCAAGGAAATGAGTTTTTTTTATAGCCCAATAGTTTTTTTAAACGTTGCGAAATATAATAAATAATAATAAAGATGACTTATGGTATAGTAAAAAGATATAGCATGTTTCTTTATACACCTTTATACATATAAGTTTTTCGCTTACCTCGGAGTTTTTTTCTTAATATAAAATGTTGAATTTTTTCGGTAATAATATATACTTATATATATAAACTTAAAGAACAAAAAGCATTTATTTTGATGGTAAATTAGCTTTTACCTGCCCTTCTTCTGTATAAACTTTCATCTCTTTCATCTATTTCATCCCCTTCTAGAGTATTTTGCGATATAAAAGACAAGACAAGAAATTTGGTATTTTTTATATTAAATTAAATAAAAAATACCAAACAAGCAAAATCTAGGCTTGTTATGAAATAAAAAAAAAATTTACCAGTTCATTATATTTTAAGTTTACATCTACACATGTTTTTTTTTATTTCATCAAACAAGCCTGTCTGTTGCAATAATACTAAGTATAGGATAAGATCAATAACTTAAATTAATGACAATCTATTAGTGAGCAGTAATTAAAGCAATTACCTTTATAATCGAGCAATTACTTATCAAGAAATCTGCAAAGTTTTCAATAATTATCACCACAGTTATTACTTCCTACGTTTAAAAGTTGTCTTCACGGGTATTTACTTATATAATCTGTGGTATTTAGTTTTCTTCATATTTTAAAGTATTTCTTTCAGAAAAAAACAATAGCATATTTATTTATTTCAGGCTACGAATAGCCCATCTTATAAGTACCCTATGGACTAACATACACATGTAATAATAGTATAAATAAATATAAGTCGTCTGTGTGGTCATGGCAATGACGACGGTAAACTGCCACGGTAACGTCGATACACCGCCCCCTTCGGACAGTAGTCCTCCTTCATGAAGGTGGGCAGCATGTTGGTAGGCATCCGGGACATAAACGATTTGAAACTCGCATATGCTGATAGTCATTACACCCTTCCTAATTGAATTAAAAAAAAAGGTATTTTTGTAATTATGTACAAAACTCGTTTGAAAAGAATAAGAACGGAGGTTCTTGTCAGTTCTTAGATTGAAAACACTCCAAATTGATGGTAGATTTAACATATCATAAGAGTCTGTAATATACCTACATGAATCAAGATATTTTGATCATGATTCACTACGATTTAGGAATGCGAGATTAAATTATAATGTTATTGGAATAATTAATCTAAATTAATTATAAAACTCAAGATTTTTTTTGTATGTTTAAATGCATTAATCTAAATCTAAACATTTGTTAGACCAATTCTTGAGCAATATTATAGGTTGTATTAAATATCATCCAACGATTTAAAAATAAAAGAAATCAGAATTTACAATAAAAGAAATATAAGTAATGCGGTAATACGGTAATAACTCATCGTCTTATTCATTTATTTCCTTACTAATTATGTATTAAAACTTATATTTTACTTATTTATTAAAACTTGAATACACAAATAAAGGTGCACATTGCAGACTTAATACCTTGAGGCATTTTCTCCCAGACAATAGGGCAAACAGCGATTCATTAGCGATATGGACGGTGCATTAGCAAAATAAACTAAGTAAAAGAGAATATACTTTGAATATATAGGTACATATGCAACCATTCTTTTTAAAATCTTATTTTTAATCCAAAATCAAAATATATTTATTTATATAGGTCTATTACAAATTCTTATGATATGTCACATATTTCTACATATATAATCTTATACTATATATGTTTATACATATATGAATACAATACTTACACATGCAGTTAATTTTTAAACAAATGAACAGTTTAAATATTATACAATTACATTCAAAAGTCTGTTTGTTACGTTGCCATAACTAAACGGTTTTAATATCTATAATTGTTTTAAAATAAGTATCATAATAGACTAGATGTAGCTAATTTGTAATTTAGCGAATAACAAGAACAATTAACATTAACCCGACTTTATTCGTACCAAGTATTTATTACATATACCATAATAACTTAACATCTCCTTTTCCTTTTCTTTTCTTTTTTTTTCTTTTTGTTTCATAATGTGGTCCCTAGATCAACCATACGCATCTCGTATGCGTATGGTTGAAGTTTGCTAGAAGAATTTTTTTTCTAAGATAAGAACTCTCTTGTAGATTTACCTAGTTACATTTCTTAGTTACTTTTATTTTTTCCTGTGTATACAATTAAGGACAAGTACAAACTCCATTATTCGTAGTAACTACCAAATGAAGCATGAATTGTTACTAATTAATGATATTAGTAGATTAGTTGACAATGCTTCGAGCATTGCCGTCGTATTCAAGTAGTTTGTAGAATAGCTTTAGGATGAAATCAAAAGTAGGGAAAAAATTAAATAAAAAAAAAAATACGTTTATAAGCGGCTAAAATGGTCTACATGAAAACAATATTTTTGAATTTAAAATGGAACATTTATATACCTGGCTACACTGTGTGGTATAAGTCAGTTTCCTTTTAACCTGACGGAGATTATACTTTTCGTATTGTCTACACTTGAGCTTCCATTTTTATCTAATATAACTTATTAAAATATATAAATAAATAAGGAGAGTAGGTTATTGAACCTACTCTTTTAATTTATTCATTTAACAAATCGGTATCACAACCACTACCCTGCTATAGGTAACATTATTTCAAAATATTACATTTACACCTATCAATTTAGAGTCCGGGTTTAAAAAACAGACCATTAACATATTCTTCTTAACCAATACGTATCATTTAAAAAACAATACATCAAATCATTGTAATGATAAAAAACAATATTGACTCAAACATTTATTAAACCATTAACATATTCTCATGAATCATTACGTTTCGTTGTAAACAACAATGCATCGTTTAATAGATGATAATCATTATAAATTGTTGCATAGGTTTTGTCATGAAACCTGTATTACTACAATGTTAACTATCAAATCAGTATTAATCACAGCATAATTGGTCCAGTGATTATACCTAGTTTATTCAAACATAACTATTGTAGTGTTAATTACCATCGACCAGTAGGAAATAAGATAAATTAAATGAGATACATCATAATTAACGGAAACTGAAAGTAATTCAGTAATTTGTATAATTTTATCATTGCTAACTAATGTTCGTATTAAATAAATAAACCTGGACTATTAACACAGCACCATCTAATCTCACGGTAAGCAGAACTTGTGCTATAATATACATAACACTCAGACCTTTTTTTTTCGGACTACTCTAATGCTGTTGGCCCCAGCTGGCCTTTACAGCTTCAACGGACGTTAGGGGGCGAGTGCACTGTGCAGAGTGCAGACTCCAAACCCGCGGAAGGAATCCTTCCGCAGGTTTGGAGTGCCATCTGCACTCGTTATGGAGCGGCTGAAGGCCAACTCCTGCCTGACGGATACAGTCAGACCGATACAAACAATCATACTCATAATAATAATAATAATCTCAGGACAATTCACACAGCGCTATCTAGTTAAGCTAGCTAAAGCTTGTGTTATGGGTACTAGATAACTGATACATATACATAGATATTTTTTTTTTGTAAATACAGTCATATTATACATAGAAAACACCCAGACCGATACCATTATCTCGGTGACGACGACCTCGGTGGTCTAGCGGTCTAGCACACCGCTTTACGACCGATGGTCGCGGGTTCGATTCCTCGCACGGCACAAACAATTGTATTCATGAGTGCGATTGTCTGTATCGGTCTGGGTGTTTTCTATGTATAATATGTATTTACAAAAAAAAAATATTATGTATATGTACGTATCAGTTATCTAGTACTCATAACACAAGCTTTAGCTAGCTTAACTTGGGTCTAGATGGCGCTGTGTGAATTGAGATTTATTATTATTTTATTATTATCTGAGTGAATGAGTACCTAATAGGCTGTGCTCAGTAAATATGATTTAACAGATGTTTTGAATTTATTTAAAGGTAATTCCAATATATCCTTTGGTATCTTATTGTAAATTTAAATACATATACATAGTAATTTAAATACTACTTTATTATATAAAAAAAAACATCTATTAAAAAGAGCAACACACAAGTTTCTTGCTCAGTCTTCTTGTGATGAATCTGCATTCCGAATGAGTGGTAGAATCAAAATATGACTATTCAAAAGTGCTTGTAATGAGTTTATTTGAATAAAGATTATTTCTATTTCTATTTCTACTAAATTTAATTAAATATAATTAAATAACTTACTAGTGTTACTTATTACCTTTCGTGCATTAACATTAACTTTATTTCCAGCAGCCAACAGACCTAATACTTACACATTCACGAAAGCACTGGCCGAGAATCTGATAGAGAAGGAACATGGAGAAATACCTACTATCATAATCCGACCTTCGATTGGTAAATATAAATTAATTCACTAAATCTTATATATAAAATTCTCGTGTCACAATGTTTGTTTGCGATCGCAATTAGCCATATTTAGTTACATCTATAGGTACATATATCTGTACATATAAATAAAATTGGAGTGTCTGTTTGTAATATTGAAATAACCGTTTTTTACTACATGCATATGAATATAAATACGATACATACACCAAAAAACCACTTTTTAAAATTTTTGTCTGTCTGTCGTTCTGTTTGTTTCGGCTAATGTTTGAAACGGCTGAACCGATTTTAACGGGACTTTTTTTGGCAGATAGCTGATGTAATAGGGAGTAACTTAGGCTACTTTTATTTTAGAAACATTATTTTATTTTAGAAAACTAAAGTATAATTCCACGCAGACGGAGTCGCGGGTACAGCTAGTAGTAAATAAAATTAGAGTGTCTGTTTGTAATATTGACATAACCGTTTTTTACTACATGCATATGAATATAAATACGGTACATACACCAAAATAACATTTTTTATAATTTTTATCTGTCTGTTTGTTCCGGCTAATCTCTGAAATGGCTAGACCGATTTTGATGGGACTTTTTTTGGCAGGTAGCTGATGTAATAAGGAGTCACTTAGGCTACTTTATTTTAGAAAAATAAACTTAAATTCCACGCGTACGAAGTCTCGGGAACAGGTAGTTTAAAAATTAAATTATAAAATTCAAATTTGGAACGTCCATACGTGACGTTCATCGTTACATGGATGTTGTTTTGTTTTACTTTATATACATTTTCGTCACTTCATCTCGAACGTTCCGTGGCGTCATTATTAAATTTTTAGTGTATTTTACATTCTAAGCATTTTCTATTTTAATAATACAACAACTTAAACATTGCAATATTCCTCCAGCAAACAATTTTAGCTACCATATGCCTCCAAAACGGCTTCACCAATTTTATGAAATTTTATATGCATATTCAGTAGGTCTAAGAAACGCCTATTTTTTTTATGTACCATTAAAAAATACGTACAACCCTAATAGGCCCCCGGTTTCACCCGCATATATAATGTAACCTATGTGTTAATCTGACGCATAAGCAATATTACTGTAAAGTTTCATCAAAATCGTTCAGGAGTTTTATTTATATGCCAGTTTTGGTTGTATATAAGTAGTTTATTCTAATAATAGTAATTTACAGCTATATATAGTAATGAAGAACAGTATACAAAAATTAGTGATCAGAAGTATAATAGTTGAAGAATGTCTTTAGAAGAAGTTAAATTGTAGATTCTATCCCAGATTCAAAATATACGGATGGCGCGCAGCCGCAGTAGGATTGATGAACGCACCATGGCAGTATGCGCGATGTTAATACTATGAGTATTAAACAAACATCCATACTTACAAAATTTTGGGATTTATATTAGTAATATTATTTTACACGCAGCTTCGCTCGCATTGAATCAAAAATATTTATTTTTTCTAAATAAAAAGTATCCTATGTTCATTCTAATACCTCCAAGAATATATGTACAAAATTTCATGATGATCGGTTCAGTAGTTTTTACGTGAATGTGTAACAAACATCTCTACTTTCACATTTATAATACTACTATTAAGAACTAGCTGTACCCGTGATCTGTCCGCGTGGAATTATACCTTATTTTTCTAAAATAAAAGTAGCCTAAATAACTACTTATTACATTAGCTATCTGCCAAAAAAAGTCCCGTTAAATTCGTTCAGCCATTTCAGATATTAACCGGAACAAATAGACCGACAAACATTTTAAAAAGTGTTTTTTTTGTATATGTACCGTATTTATAATCATATGCATGTAGTAAAAGATGATTATTTCAAAATTACAAACAGACACTCCAATTTTATTTATATGTATAGATAAAAATAAGATTGTATGAACTTGTAATGAGAACTGCGTGTGAAATGTAAATTATGCTTCACCAACTCCAGTGTAAGTGACATCTGACTAACAGAATGTTGCCTCCTTGAGATCTAGTAACTTTTTTTTCAGTGGGATCAGTGAAAAATGAACCTACACCGGGATGGTTAGACAACTGGTACGGAGCCACAAGTTTTTTCACGTTCGTCTCAATGGGCATCATTCGCATCATACCAGGCAGAGGCGACGGCGTTATAGACTTGATTCCAGTTGATTATGTATGTAATCTCGCCATTGTAGCGGCTGCGAAATCTGTAAGGTGAGACATTATTTAATAGTCCAAGATCCGCTTTAAGAGAGATATAACTTCATATTTATTCCTTTTTTTCGGACTACTCTAAAGTTGTTGGTCGCAGCTGGTGTTTACAGCTTCGCAGGATGATACTGGTCGAGTGCAGATGGTAAACCAAACCCGCGGAAGAACTTCTGGAGCGGCCGAAGCCCAACTCCCGCCTGACGAATACGGCTTTATTGAGAAGGCACCGCTAGAGGTTCGAACCTTGTCTCAGGCCGTCGTAATTTTGATCCCCGTTTGATTTGGTCGGTGGGGTTCTGTTGTTCATTATTGATAATGCTTCCATTAGACCCACGCGCACAACGTCCGTTCCTCTCGCGGACTGTTCGTATAATACCATTTTTGTGTCGAAACTGTTCATAGTTCGCCATCTTGTGCCCCACTACTCTCAAAAAATCGGAAGTAATAACATTTAGAGCCCAAATTGCTTTAACAACAATCCCTCGTAGATATTTTTATTTGGATTAGAACAGACAAGGTAGTGTGATATAAAGTCCAGTCTCTACAAGCAGCGCTAGTTCACGAGTATGACGGATGAGTAAAGGAATTTTCTTCCATCATTCATATGTCATACTCGTGAAGCAGAATAAATAAACAACTATATTAGTCAGTTGAGGATGGGTGTGTGTACATTGCCAATACGCTAAAAAGGCAACACCTCAGTGTATTGTTTGATCGAGCAAACCAATTTCCAGATATTGTCTATTATATTACTCTTGTTATTTCGCACTTGAATACTTATTAATTATGCATATTTTTTTATAACCCGTGTTAGCATAGCTCTTCAATAATTGTTGTTTTTTTTTGCAAATTATAAATTATTTGTGTAATAATCGGCGTGTGCTTTTGATGAATAACAAATGATGGAAGGTAATAAAAAAAAGTGTGCTATACCCTTTTACACTTTTTTTATTATGTTCTGATATATTTTTCAATTCAATTCAGCTCAAAATATCTTTATTCTTGTAGGTCTATTACAGACTCCTATGATAAGTCAAATCTACCGTCAGTTCGGAATGATTTCGAGACGAGAAGAATTGACAAGAAACTCAGCTCGTATTCTTTTCAAATAATACAGATTCAATTTTAAATTTAAATTTGGGAGAACAGAGTGACCACTAGCATATGGTATTGCAAAAGCAAAAAGTCTAATCAGTGTTCGTAACCTGAACAGATCAGTACCGCTATAATAGCTTACGATTATCGATAATAATTATCGACAAATCGATAAATCTATTTATTTGCACTAGTTTCACAAATTACCTTTATTTACTTAGTTCAATTAATAAAAATGTGCTTGTATTTTTGATGGAAAGTGTAAAGTGGACATGTAATGCAAATATTATTTAAAAGACAACAAGATACCCGTTCACGAGTATGATCTAAATCTACATATTAGGTAAAATGTAAAAGTTGTTATTAACTGGCAGACCTACAATAACATGTACTGGCAGTTTCGTATATTCGTATATCCATATTTGAAATAAAATATTACTTTTATTTATTGTAACTGCTTTGCGCTATATTAAACTTCTAAAAGCATATCAAAAGATAGAGGGCCTATCTTTTTGAGGACGTATCCTGTACTATGTACTTATAGGCTCTGTATACAATAACATCCGTTATGTTGCTAGTAAAAAGAGGTAGATATAGATCTCCGACTTCTTTTTTTATGTAATTGGAACGGTACACATACTGAAAATCAGAGCTGTGGTGTAATTCAGTTATGCTACAGTATGTATGTTGAGTGGGAGTCACATTCAGCGTTACAAGTAGGTTTTAATTTTGAAGATATAAAAAAGTAGTAATAGTATCTAATACTGATATAATGAATAAATAATATTCTTATTTTTTTATATACTACGACGTTGACAAATAAGCATACGACCCACCTGATAGTAAACGGTAATCATAGCCTATGGATACCTGGAACACTAGGGGTGTCACGTACGCGTTGCTAACCCTTATGAATCCTTAATAAATATATAGTTTTCCTGAAAACCCCATGATGTAGTCTCTCGAGAAAACCTTGTTGGTATATAGTTAGAAAAATAGTAAAGTAAGATACGAAGTTTCTGTGACATCAGGTTTGAACCTACGACTTATGATGTTTACAAGATTTTATGTTAGTTTTTTGCAATTTTAATAGAGGATGTAATGTATTATTATTATGTAATGATTTATAATATTTTTAATTTCAGATCAAATTTATTACACGTGTACAACTCATGTACCAGTGAATGTAATCCTATAAATATGAAGAAGTTAACTGATTTGATCTTATCTAATAATAGTAAGTTATATCTGTAAAATGACTTTCATAACAATTTATATTGACGCCCTCAGTGACGTAGCGGTTTAGCACACCGTCTTACTTCTTCGCGAGTTCGATTACTTGCACAGCACCAACATTTGTATTCACAAGTGTGATTGTTTGTATCGGTCTGAGTGTTTTCTATGTATAATATGTATGTATTATACTTGGATCTAGAGAGCACTATGTGAATTGTCCTGAGATTAGTATTATTATTACTGTATCTACGAAATTTATTAATCTCACTAATAATATAGGCGCGAAAGTTTGAGATTATGTATGGATGATTGGTTCTCGTTCACGTAAAAATTACTGAAACGATTTTGATGAAACTTTACAATAACATAGCTTATACATGAGAATGACATATAGATTATAATTTAAAAAGGCATTATATAAATTAGGCGAAATATCATGTAAGTATGCAGACTAACCTGCGCTGGGGCAGCTAGCTATTATTTTTAACCTTTTTAAAAAGGGTATCAAATTATTTTTTTATAACACAGGGGACAAACGAGTATGCGGCTCACCTGATGGTAAGTGATTACCGCCGCCCATGAGCATCCGCAACACAAGGGGTATTTGCAAGTACGTTATCGGCCTTTTAAGATGGAATAAGCTCTTTTCTTGAAGGTTTCCATATCGTATCGGTTCGAAAATACCATTGAAGAAGAAGAAGAAAAATATTTATTCAGTGCTTTTCAACAATGTTTCAATATAACAAACAAGCAAACGAAAAAAAAGATTAAATATAATGTACATATAATTAAACTTAATTTATCATGTAGATAATTAAAAATGATTGCTGGGGATTCCACAATGTGGTTGTGCGTGGCAAAAAGTTTCTAGAATACCGCACTGTGGAGGACCGCCATTCATCCAGGTGATCATCAGGTGATCATGATCTGGATGGTAGTTTAGTTTCTGTCGGGTGGTACGGTGGTGAAACTCAGCAGGTATTAATCCGAACAATTTATTAACCAATCCTTTTACGGCCTGCCAGATGGTAAGCCACCGAAGACGGACTTGTTCTTGCGATAGATACAAATCATCAATAACTGTATTATTAAATAACATTTTTATAATTTCAGACTTCTTAAACACCAGTATACATTTTACTACTTCAAGAAAGATTATGAAGGTATTAAGTTTTGTACTTGAATACATACCAGCTTATTTTAAGGATATTTATTTATGGATGGCAGGTCAGAAACAGAGGTAAGGTACATATATATTAATTTATTAGAGCACTGACAAAATTTCATATGTAAAAAAAACTCTATGTGCTATGTATTATAAATCATATTTGTTATTATACTTATTAAGCATGCTGTAATATTCAATGTTAGAATTAAACTAATCTGATTTTTTAAAGTTCATATTACTTGACCAATTCTAATTATTGTTTTTGAAAATAATACAATATTTTATAATATATAGTGCGTTTAGTTATCGGCGTATTTTAATCCGCTTCATGTTTGTTAGTATTAATATAGATTAGTATTAATAATAACTACATTTTTTTACATATGGAACTGATATTTTTTTTTATAGTCGGTTTAGTATTAATAATAATAAAACCACCCAAGATAATTCACACAGTGCCATCTAGTCCGAAGGTAAAAAGAGCTTCTGTTAGATAGATATATACAATTCTAAATTCTATTGGTTTAGTTTTAAAAATTAATATGGATTGTGGATTATTGTCAACAGAGTAGTGAAACTACATTCCCGTGTGAACCATCAGCGGGAGAAGTTAGAATATTTCGGTTTCAACAATTGGCAGGCGAAATATAATAATTCCAAATCACTCGTCGATTCGTTATCGGAAACAGATATACAGACGTTCCGATGTGATTCTACAGATATAAAATGGAACGAGTATATACCAATATATCTTATGGGAGCGCGTAAATATGTAATGGAAAAATTAAATGAATGAAAGTATACTAGCAAGTATGTGGAGGTTACTATCAATGGTGGTAAACAGTATTAATAATAATATAATAACAATATAGATTTTAATTAAGTAATTTAATTTTGTTGTAATAAAAATTGATAGAGTAGTACGTCTTTGTTTTTCTGTAATTACAATCCATTTTAACAAAACATTTATATATAACCTGATAAATGATATGAATCGAAATTCACAGAGTAATAGGGTACAAAAGGCGGGCTTATTGCTTATGCAATCTCTTCCAGACAACCTTTGGGTAGAAGAGAAAAGAGGAAAGGTAGGTGGCGCTAGAATAGAGTGGTAAAAATAATAATAATGGCAATAACATTACAAATTAATAATAATGAAGAACATAACATATTATATATAGACATAGTAACATGCAATAAAAAAATACACAACACAAAATAATGTAAGCAACACACGCATAGGAAAGATACTAGTAACAGAACAATTATGACGACAGCAAAGAGACATTACAAGGAAAGATTTTTTCTTTGTAATTTATCTTATACCTACTTACAAAGAAAGAATCTTTCACTCTCTTAGAGGTCTTAAAACTGGATAGTGATCGTGAGCTAAGTTTGGAGGAAGGTAGTGAGTTCTATAATCCAACGGCATGTATAGAAAAGGAGGGGGTGCATAGAAAAGAATAAACAGGGGTAGTATAAGATTTTTTTTTAATTTATACTATCACAAGATACCTCCTGTATCTTGTTACAAGATACAGGAGTGTTCGACATAATGCTTGCACACGAATATATAGGGGAGTTTGTTTAAGTAATGACCCGCGCAATTATAATATTATGGATTAATTTGATTGCATGAAAGGCAGCAATTTCCAACATAATCGAGTTGTTGCGAATTCAATACAGTCTACATTTGCGAGCGTTCGTCTGTAACCAAGTTAACGCAAGTATTGCCATGTTTGAGTAAAACCACTCCTCCTTAGAATACTAGAGCCTCCTTAGAAGGAGTTTCAAAGTCTTCAAAGAAAACTTTTAGAAAAGGAATTCATATTCAATTTATATTAAGAATATCTTTAAGTATTCTAATACTATATCTACCTTAGGAGAGGTCCTCCTTCTAAAGAAGATCTAGTATTATAAATTATATTACCTTTTATTACAACTGATCATACCATATTTAGTGGCGTGCAAGATTCATACCTGCCGAAGATTTCTCGAAAGACTACGACATGGGGTTTTTCAATGAGGGTATATTATGGTTTCTTAAGGGTCGGCAACTTGCACGTGACACCTCTGGTGGCCTCAGGCGTCTATACTAAAGGCTACAGTAACAGTATACCAGATAGGCTGTATGCTTGTCTGCCACCATCGCAGTATATGTATTATATTTTTCGATAAATAAATCAATCATTATTTACTTTAATTATATAGTCACTGACTGTTATCTCAGAAGGAGTAGGCATTTCTTTAATGGATGATAATGGAATGCTGCATCCGCCTGCGCTAACGGATTGCGCTGTCGGGACACCAGTGGAGAATAATAAGATACATAAGGTAACGTCAGTTACCCCATCGTGACAAAATTACTAGGAATTTATCACGAATTGTTTCGAGGTCAATCTACCTTAGTTCATTGCTAACAATAGGGTTATAATCCTCATTTATAACAATGTCCTTCCTCCAGAGGCATTGTCAAATACAGATGTTATAGTAAATGCAACACTTGACATGCCCACAATTTGACAACACAAGTGACTAGATAGTCGAGAGTCGTATATATGAATATTTTTTAATATTCATATATGCGAAGAACCATTATTCTTTTTAAAAATAGACTGGTTACTGTAAACTAATTTTACCCAAAAGGGGATCAAATCTACTAGTTCTGCGGGGGATACGACTGAAGTGGCAACACTGGCTTAAGTCGTATGAAGAGCATTTTAAGTTTTAATTACTTCTATTGGGAATCCGAACTTGCGGAGGCGTCGTAACTGACTTTCATTAATTAAATTTATGTACTGCAAGTGGTTTACGGTTTCGAGTTTAAAAAGATATATTTTAAATAGAATCTGACTTTTGTATTTGTATTGGGTGTGAGTTTTATCAATGTACACACTTCCTGGGCAGTTAGATGCTACTTTTGCTTGTATTTTAAATAAAAATGCTACATGTCTTAAAATGATTTCGCTATTGACTTAATAAAAAATATATAAAAATAATGACTGGTCGGTGGGACGATTTGAAACGCACTACCGTAGTGGGGTGCAGTAGGCACGCTGGATGTATTTGCGTGAACACCAATACGAAGTTAACACTTCCCGTATTATGGATTTCTCAGTTGGTTATTATTGTGATTGTAATAGAACTAGGTAATTGTGGATAAATGAAAATAATTTGCTTCCGTATATTGTGAAAAAATCAATTGCAATGATAAAAACAAAAGACGAACAGTGAGAGAAACGTTGCAAAGAATAGAATAGAATAGAAAATCATTTATTCAAATAAACTTACATTGAAGCACTTTTGAATAGTCATTACATTTTTTTTAATCTACCGCTCGTTCGGAAAGCTGTCACATCACAAGAAGAACGAGCAAGAAACTTGCGTGTTGCTCTTTTAAATAATTTTATTATTACTTTACATTCTTAAGTTTAAGTGTGTGAATACAAACCACTAATTAGCACTAATTCAATTAAATACTGAAATAGAAAAATATTGAATATATAACCAACTGGTTAAACAATTAATAAGAGGAAATTAGTCATAGTGATTAGAGCAGACCAGTCCCTACAAGCAGCACCCGTTCACGAGTATGACGGATGAGCCAGCCATCACTGCGCTCGACCATATTTTAGGGAGCCCAATGACCCGGCCCACCACGCCGCCACAAGTCTGGACATTTTAGTGAGCATGACTACTCAAAACACTAGACCACGTCAAAGCTACTTACAATTGCCATCTGATAGTTATAGTATTCACATTTTACATAAGAATGCATGCGGCAATCAATATAATAACCGCTACGCTTTCATATTTCTAAAATCAATCAATTAAATCAAGAAAAAGTATATGACTATAAAAAAATATTAACAAGGAAGTTTAATTTCCAACACAAATGTGTGACTCAAAATTAACTTAAATGTTTATAGATTTATTATTTCGTTAACTAGTTAGATTAATAAAAAAAATACTAAACTTTATCTGACAAATTGACAATTTTGTAACTCCGGATTACTTTGAACAGAAGACTTTCATAGTATACAGAGAATGCACAAAAGTGTAACTATTGAATGAACATAATGACAAAAAATACAATTACATATATTGTATGTCACTGCATTCACCCTGATCTAATTTAAATACGAATCTATATTTTTGCAATCATATACAAGTTTTTTTAAATAGAATAGGCTGAGTTGCTTGTCATTTCTTCTTAGCTTCTTCAAACTGATAGTAGATTTGACTACCTGTCGGTAAACATCATCTTATACCATTCATTCGATATTGGCGTAGTTACTGTCAGTAAATTATCTATACATATAAATAAAATTGGAGCGTCTGTTTGTAATATTGAAATAACCATCTTTTACTACATGCATATGAATATAAATACGGTACCTACATATACCAAAAAAATACTTTTTACCATTTTTGTCTGTCTGTCTGTTTGTTCCGGGTAATGGCTAGACCGATTTTGACGGGGCTTTTTATTAGCAGATAGCTGATGTAATAAGAAGTAACTTAGGCTACTTTTATTTTAGAAAAATATAGTTAAAATCCACGCGGACGAAGTCGCGGATACAGCTAGTATAATATATAAATATAAATATTTTGTTTTTTTTATACTATCTGTCTATTAAAAATCACGAATAGTTTTTGCGTAAAACTGTAATAAAACATCCACTCGTCTTTATTAATTTTTATAATTCCAAAATACATATTTAGATGAATAAACATATTTTGATTTCTATCTGTGTGTTGAAATTCAATAGTAGTTTTTGCATAAAACTGTATCGAACATCCAACCATCTTAACAAAGCAATTTTTTTTATAAGTCTAAAATATATTTACATGAGAAATTATTGATTTTCTATTTGTTCATAGAAATTCTATAGTCATTTTTGCGTAAAACTGTATCAAGCATCCATCCGCGTTCATACATTTGCTAAAATTTCTTAAATATATACTGAATACTCTAATATCTAGTTATCTCCATCTATACATTGTAATTGAGGAATGATATTATCGAGAGCGTAAGCCTCGGTAACAGCTCGTTAGAACATCTATCAAAGTGCTGGAAACTAATCCGTCAGATGCAGCTGTAAACCATCCCATTAAACCGTAGTTAGCGAATACGGTTGATGAAGCACGACGCCCCGCAATAGTTGGGATGTAGATTGGTATAGTCTACGAATAAATTGAACTATCGGTGTGGAACATACGTCCATCAAATTCTGTTATCACTTAAACTTGATTATGTAAAGTATTTTAAGCTGGACAAAGCATATGTTAAAATGGAGTACGCGATTCTTTGGCACTCTAAAGACGAGACTAGAAGACGGCGACCAAAGAACACGTTGAAAAGACTATATCAATCGGGACAACTCTGGAATAGGGTTGTGGAAGACTGAGTTTAATGGAAAGAGCTGGAGGAGGACATCGCACTTCCGTGGGTACGTACCTAAGCAACAATTTATACAAAATCGACCTAGGTAAATAATAACCTTATGATGATATCTAATTAAGTATTAAAACTTCATTAGGTTTATATTGTTGCAATAAATCAGTCACTTTTTGAGGTACTTAAGGTATGAAATAGTATAAAAAATCGCTGTTTTTTCTGTCTATTGTTATGCTTGCTACTTCTAAACCAAACAACAAAAATTTATTTTCTTTTTACTAACATTTAGAGAATTTCTTCAAGAAGGTTTATATGCATAATCCATGCATTTAGTTTTATGACATATGTCACGTATACTGTATTGAACACATGTGCTAAAAGATAGGTTTCTTATA